TTCCTCAACCTTCAGCTCTCAGCTTAGGCAAAATCTTCCTTAAGAGAGCTGGTCCTTGAACCCCAGATTCCCTTTTACAGGTGCTTCTAGGTCCGCGGGCCGTTCCATATTTCAGTTTTATAAACATGCATTCATTATTACTAAGCTTGATTGCACTCTCCCTCTTTCTTACCAGTCTCTTAGCTCTGCAAGAATGGGGACTATATTTGGCTTTGTTCATTTTTTAGCACTGGGCCTAATGTGGGACGGGTGTTTCCTAAATACTTGTTGGAGGAATGAATTTTACTCTTCAGAGCTGAGGAGGCCATAGTGTGAGCGGCCCCGGGGCCCAGGTCTAAGAGAGACTGCCCTAACCCAGCTCAGATGGGACAGACGACAGGCAGATCCTGAGAGCCTGAGCCTCTGCCTCAGATGCAACGGGGTGGGGGGCAGGCTTCACTCTACCGTCTGCCTGTTGGCTGCCATTTCCTGATTTACCTGGCTGTCCCCGCCAACGGGGAACTGATATATCTAACCCCCCACCCCCAGGGATGGTGAGCTTCTTAGGAGAGGGACTGTGGCTGATTCTATCTCTGGTCCTAGCACAGTACTTGGCACATAGGAGTGCTCAATGAGCGTTTCAAATGAATGAATGAATGAATGGTCAACACATGCACGGACAGATGGTTAAATGCCTGTGGACCAGAGAGCACTTCACCATTCCCAAGATACCTGGCACCTGGCACCCCGCAGCCTGTGGAAGAACAGGAGCCTCCCAGCTGCCTCTCCTAGTGCCTCCATGTGCCCTCTCAAATCCCTTTCCTATTCTGTCTTTGACCTTCAAGCCTGGAGGAGAGACGCTGGCCCACCAAGGAGCCCAGAAACCTAAGGCCTTGACTCTGGGTCCAGGCATGGCTTTATTGGTTCCTCAGGAAGGACCCCAATGACCTCTTAATTCTCTAACAGGCAGGGGTAGAGGGTGAGGGAGGGCCCCTTGCCCCCGGCTTGGGGTAAGCTTGCCCTGTCCTATTGCCTTGGGGTTAGGCTTGAGGTCGGGAGGGGAGGGGGGAGTCTAGGTTAGCACGAGGATCTGGGGAAACCTAGCAGTCTTCAAAATGTTGTTAGCATTCTAGGCGCAGCTGGGTGTACCCTGTTCCAGGGAGGCCCATCTGGTACAGCGCAGCCCATAGCTCCTCTCCCTGCAGTTCCAGAGAGGCGGATCGCACCTCCCCACTGCCCATTGGTGGCCTCAGCTATATTCAGGGCCGCACCAGAATTCGTCTTGTCAGCAAGACTGTGGGCCGGTGCCTGGATGCCACAGCACAGAGGATCCCAGACCAAGAGGCCTTGGTGGTCCTCCATGAAAACATCAGGTTGACCTTTGCCCAGCTCAAGGAGGAGGTAGGTCCTAACCTTGAACCCTCAAAGTGGGCAGGTATGAGTCCCCAGGCTGCTTTAGCTGGGCAGAGCCAGGAGCTGGCTAAGGGGCAGTGTGCTGGGGCTGCCTGAGCACCCCAAGGGAGTGGCAGGACGAGGGGACCAGGCTGAGGCAGAGGTGGCCTGGATGCCTCCTGCATCAGCAGCTCCTGGGACACTTACTACCCATGTGTACTCCAGGCTCTGCATACCCACGGAGCCCTGGGACTCTGCCTGTCCCTTTGCTCTCAGTGATTCTGATGTGAACCCCTGAGCTTCACACGGAGGGTGGGCATCATGGCCCTGTCCTGTGTGCCCCAATCTCACCCCTTGTGGCCATCTGTCTCCACCAGGTGGACAAAGCTGCTTCTGGCCTCCTGAGCATTGGCCTCTGCAAGGGCGACCGGCTGGGCATGTGGGGCCCCAACTCCTACGCATGGGTGCTCATGCAGTTGGCCACCGCCCAAGCGGGCATCATCCTGGTAAGGAGGGGCCTGCTGGGCATGGCTGGGGGGACATCATTCCAGGAAGCCCCTCAGCCCCTCTGCCCCTTGGCCCCAGAGCCAAACCAGTGCCTGGCTAGTTTTAGACCAGGTAGAACTTTCTCCTGAGGTCAACCGAGGAGGCCTTTAGGGGTAGGGGGATGTAGAGTGCTACCCCTCTGCCTCCTGAGGGGAGACGGGCTGCAGGAGGGACAGCAGCAGGTTCACTGAGCCACCATGGCTCAGAGCAGGTGTCGTACTCATCATACATACCCTTACTGTTTGCACCAGGTGTCTGTGAACCCAGCCTACCAGGCTATGGAACTGGAGTATGTCCTCAAGAAGGTAGGACCGGTTCCTGGGGGAGGGGCCCAGCTGGGGCCTGACACAAGGGGCTTCCAGTTGTCACAGAGGCTGACGGGGGTGAGGGAAAGCATGCACAGTGGGTGACATGCAGAGTGTCCTTCCTTGGGCTGTATGTGGTTGGAAGGAGGTCTCAACTCCACTAAGAGAGTGGTTGGTCAGACACAAAGCCAGCGTGAGTATTGGGGTGGCACGTGTGAGTCAGGGCAGTAATGTGTGTGTGTGTGAGTGTGAGTATGTTTGTGTCTTGGTATGTGACGTATGTGTCTCATGGTGTGGTGCACGCATGCTTGGGGCTGGTGTGTGTAGGTGCCTGTGTGTGGGAGGTGCGTGTGTGTAAGAGCGTGGTGCAGGCGTGCGTCAGGGTAACGGTGCATGCATGTGAAAGAACATAATTGATCAGCAAGGACTGCCCCGCAGCCCCGGTCTGGGGCTTCCTGCTGACTGCAGGTGGGGGGACTCCCCTTTCACAGGTGGGCTGCAAAGCCCTCGTGTTCCCCAAGCAATTCAAGACGCAGCAGTACTACAACATCCTGAAGCAGATCTGTCCAGAGCTGGAGAATGCCCAGCCAGGGGCCTTGAAGAGTCAGCGGTGTGTCCCGGGTTAGGGGCGCAGTGTGTTGCGCTCCTGACTCCCTCACCCCCTACCCACCCCCAGGGACAGGGCTGGCGTCTCCCTGCACCCTTCCTTAGCCCCTGCCTCTCACCATTCTCCTATCCCCAGGCTTCCAGATCTGACCACAGTCATCTCAGCGGATGTCCCTTTGCCGGGCACCCTGCTCCTGGATGAAGTGGTGGCGGCAGGCAGCACAGAGCAGCATCTGGACCGGCTCCGGTACAACCAGCAGTTCCTGTCCTGCCATGACCCCATCAACATCCAGTTCACCTCGGTAGGTCAGAGGTCTCCAGGCACCAAGCCCAGGCTGACACATGACCCCTGCCCCTGTGCCCCGTCCACAGGAATGAGAGACAGCAAAGGAGGTCAGGAGAACAGGCACTCTCCCGAGACCGGCCAATAGCTGTCCTCTCTGCCCTAGGAAACATCAGCAACTGGTGTCCTTGTTACATGCTTCTCACTCCAGCCCTCTCACTCCCAGGACAGTGGCAGATTCTCTGAGCCACCACGGGTCCAAGCAGGTGGAGCCTGCCTCTCATTTAGCCAGTGGGGAATCCAAGGCCCAGAGAGGGAATTTTTCCAAGCCCACACAGCTTGAGGGCAGCAGAGTCCTCTGAGCCATGTTGTGATGGGCACAAGGACAGACACTTTATCTTCTGCATTTCTGGACCCTGACACCTGGCACCGTGTTGGGCCTTTTGCCTATATACAGAATGGACAGGTGGATCCGGGACAATAGTCCTGGTCTGCTGACTCCAAGTCCAGTGCTCTTCCAGACAGTGGCTCAGGGTGGGAAGGACATGGGGAGAAGAGAGACCAAGCTGTCACCTGCTTGTCTTGTCAGGGGACAACAGGCAGCCCCAAGGGGGCCACCCTCTCCCACTACAACATTGTCAACAACTCCAACATGATAGGGGAGCGCCTGAAACTGCATCAGAAGGTGAGGCGGTGCTGGGCTCAGGGCAAGGCTGCAGGGAGGGGGAGGCTCGTGCAGGAGTGGGGGCCTTGCTGGGACCCTGTCGCAGCTAGAGGAACTAGTGTCTGGGGCTTCTGACTCCATGGCAGACCCAGCCTCCTGTCTCCATCTCCAGAAGCCAGAGGAGTTGCGAGTGATCCTGCCCAGCCCCCTGTACCACTGCCTGGGTTCCGTGGGGGGAACAATGGTGTGTATTATGCACGGTGCCACCCTCATCTTGTCCTCTCCGATCTTCAATGGCAAGAAAGCGCTGGAGGCCGTCAGCAGAGAGAGGTGGGCATCGGTGGACAGGCTGCCCTCGGGCTCGTGACACCCTCCTATTCCTCACTCCTGTGCTGACGCCTTGCCAAGGTGTCTCCTCCCCCCAGCCAGCAGACTGGGGCATGTGGGTAGTGGGGGCCAGTCCTGCCTTAAGGGCTTCTCCTGCCTGCCCCCCACAGCTTCAGCCGTGGCCCTTGCTGCAGGTTCCTGGCAGGGTGGGTGAGAAGAGGGAGTTCCTTTCTACTTCCCAGCCTAATTTTGAGAACCACCCCCCTACAGAGGCACCATCCTGTACGGCACCCCCACCATGTTCGTGGACATTCTGAACCAGCCAGACTTCTCCAGTTATGACATCTCGTCCATGTGTGGAGGTGGGGTGGGGCTGCGTCCCCCCAAGGAAGCTGGGTGAGCCAGACAGGCACCCAGACTTTTATTAGGGGGCAGCAAGGGCACTATAGGAACATGGGTGGGAGGGAGGCAAATCCCCAGTGTCCCCGGACACCAGCCCAAGGCCAGCTGCCGGGTGTAGGAAAGGCTCAGAGTCCAGGGGAGATGAATGCCCTTCCCCTGAATGAGCTGTAGGTAGAGGGGCTCCACTGGGGCTGGAGAGCTGTGTCAGCCCTTTCTCTGATTCAGGCGTGATCGCTGGATCCCCTGCACCCCCAGAGCTGGTCCGAGCCATCATCAACGAGATGAATATGAAGGAGCTGGTGGTGAGTGGTGGCCGGGCTGGGCAGAGGGCAGGCCTGGCCTGGGGTGCGGACAGACTGACAGGCACAGGGACTAGCCCAGGCCCCATCTCCAAGGGAGACCCTCTCAGCCAGCCCTCCTTCCAGGAGCAGATGTGAGACAAGACAGTCTGACCTCATCAGCACCTGGCGAGTCAGGGACATAGGTGGCAGTGCAGTAAATATCATACATACATAAATTTATATTTATAGAAATTTGGGGAAGAAATGCAGCACGGGGGGATGGGCAGCAAAGCACCGGTGTCCTGCTAGAACGTCCTGGCAGGCGGGGGTGGCAAAATTGGGGTATGGGCTTACAACCCTTTCTGGAAGCAAGGGCTGGGCAAGGATCTGGTGTTTGTTTTCACATGACAGGGAAAGAGGAGCAGCGGAAGGACGATTCTAGAAGGGTGGCCATCCTGATGACCACTCTGTTCTGATTCCAATGGACTTGGGGGTCTCAGCAACAGCTTCTCTGAGAGGAGCCGGGGAGGCATGATGGCTGGGGAGGGGCTCTGTGTCCTCCCCAGGACACTGTCGGGTGGAGCTGGTTGGTGGGGGAGTGCCCGCAGCCCCCTGCCAGGACGTGTCTAGGTGCAGGCAGCTCTGTGCATCAGCAGAGGCTGTGGGGAGACGGAGGCCGTGGAGGCGGGAAGGTCAGTAGTCTCTCTGGCAGAAGGCAGAGGCCAGTCACCAGGACTGGCTGGGTCAGGACCTGCAATGAGGCAAGGGTCGATGTCAGGACCCCAACAATCCAGATGATGGTTGGAGAGACAGTGGAGTATCCTTTCCTCCCTTAGAGGGGGCCCAGTCCTGCCTGTCCCTCCAGGAGAAGTGGGCATCCCGGGAGACACCAGCTCACTTGCTGGAATCTCCAGAGAGGGAATGGGGGACCTGTCCACCTGGCCCCCACCTGTTTAATGGCGGCCGGCTTTCTTGGATCTCTTGGTGGGGAACTTGCAGCTGCGGAAGGCGTCTGTATCACGGATGTGCTGACCCTTGAACTTGGCAGGGGAGGCACAGGTGGCATCTGGGCGGGAGGCCTTGGCTTCCAGCCACCTAAAGAGACAGAGAGTTGCTGGGGTTGGGGGAAAGATGTGAGAGTGCTGGGGCAAGGAACAGTGAGCTATGAGGTCAGAAGTGATTTGGCCCCAGGATAGTCTGGAGCTGTCATCTTCATTTTACAAATGGGGAAACTGAGGCTCCTGGGGTCCCATGCCTATTAGGTAGCAGATCTAGGATATATGCCCAGGATGTCTTAGTGCAGGGCCAGTGTGTCTCCGCTCCATCATGTGAGGGCGGGCTCTGGGGGTGACGTGGGGGTGTTCTTACCGCCGAAGGCCCCGCAGCTGGCAGGTACACTTCCAGGGGTTGTTGGTGAGGGTGAGGGTCTCCAGGTTGTCAAAGGGGAAGTTGGAGGGCAACTGGTTCAAACGGTTGTTCTCCAGATGGACATGTTTCAGCGTGGTCACACCCAGGAAGGCACCATCTGAAAACTGGGGAGCAAGGTGGCATAAGTGAGCACCCTAGCCCTAGTGTCCAGGCTCAATCACCTTGGAGGTGCAGGTCCTTCCCTAGATATGAGCAATGGCATCTTGAGGAGTTTCCCAGTTTTCAAAGCAGTATGACCAAGTGGTCTCAGACGATCTAATCCACATAATCCCTTTTGAGATAGGTGGTGTTATTTCCAGTATGTAGATGGGAAAGTGGAAAAAGTTCAGTCCTTTGCCCAGGGTCATACTAGCACATAGACAGTAGCCGCAGGACCACACCCAGGCCCTCAGCCGCTGGCATCACTGGCCCCACACTCCCTGCACAAACACTGGGGCTGCTGAGGCAGCCCGAGTTTGGCCTCAGCAGCCAACTGGTACACAGTGAACCCAGTCGGTGTTTGGTGGAGTGGGCAGTGGGCCCGGGCTCCCCACAACCTCAGGGTCCTGGGACTTCCCCCAGCTCTGTCCTCATTGCTCCCGTACTGCCTGCCAGATGCTATTTGTGAAGCCATCTTGGTGGAGACTTTGGCCAGGTTGGACGGCTCCAGAGGAAATGTTCTATTGGTGCCCACATCTTGGCCCAGGCGCCACAGTTCCTGTCTGGCCCCCCCTACCCCAAATCAGCCCCTGATTCGCTGCTCTGCTGCCCACTGGAAGACCACTCTGGCATTGGTGGGCTACAGGGAGATCCGATTCAGCTGGGGAGGGGCCAGGCTCCATCCACTCAGACAAAGGTCGGCTGTTGCCCAGGTAGGATTCTACCCACATCTCCATGTCTGTGCCCTCTCCTGTGGCCCAGGTTGGGGTGTGAAGTTCTCTAGTAACCAGACTGTCCTCTACCCAGACCTCCTGGCTGAAGTCCCTGTAACCCTGGTCCCACCCAAACCTCTTGGCTGAAGCCCCAAGAGGATAATCACCAGAGTGATTTTCCAGTCCCATGGAAGGGATTCCACTCCGATCCAAATAGCCCTAGCTGGCCAGACACCAGCATCCCAGGGGAGGAAGGACTGAGTGAGGATGCACACAAGAGAGGGGTCTGGTGACTAAGGAGGACAAAGGGAAGTCAGCAGTGTGGGGGACATTGAGGCACAGCCAGTCCTCCCTGTGGGGAGACAACTGGGGCCTTGTTGCTCCTGTCTTTGCCCCCCCTGGAGCCCATGGGCACCATGCCTGCAGCCTGGGGGAGCCCTTGGACCCCATGCCTTCACCTCCCTATTCAGTTAAAATGGACCTGAGGATGCAGTGGCTTGTGTGTGTGTGGACCAGGGGGGCCATCCACCTATGGGGCATGGAGGAGGTCTTCCTCAGATATTTGCTCCCCCTCGCTCCCCAGCCTCCCCACTCTACCTGCGCATACACGCACAGCCCCCACCACGAACAGGGTCTCTTTGTGGGCCTGATTTGCTCAGCGCCTCTGGAAGGCTCCTCAATAAACAAACCTTCCTTTATGGGGTGGTAGATTTACTGGAGACGGAAAAACAGCAGAGGAGGGGCGGAAGGCCCAACAGGAGGAGGTGGCTGCTGCTCACAGCAGGGGGTTTGGGAGCACCGGAGATGCCTCCTAGGGGGCTATTTGTGGGGCCAGGGCACACACTCCTATTACAAGTAGGCATCCTAAAAGGGCAGTGGCTGAGATTAGCAGAGATTAGGGTGGGGATGTGACAAGGTGAGGAACAGAGGTGGCAGAGCTCCTTGCCTTGCAGATAGCCAGAGGGACAGGGAATCTGGGGCTAGGGGATGGTGCAGGCTGTGGCCCTGGCTCCCAGGGCCTCCAGGGAGGGAAGGTGGAGCCAGGGCAGAGCTACCACCCAGGAGCTCACCTTCTCCAAGTTGGTGTTGTCCAGCCAGAGGGTCTCCAGGTATCTGCCAAAGGACTGGAAGGCATTGTCAGGGATGCTTTTCAGGGGGTTGTGGGACAGCTTCAGCTCCTCCACCACCCGCAGCTTGTTCAGAGCAGCAGAGGGGTAGCTGGACAGCTGGTTCCTGTCCACGTGGAATTTGGCCAGGTTCTCCACATCATCCAGGGCCCCGGGCTGCAGGGAACTGAGGGCATTTTCGGACAGGTAGAGCCAGCGCAGGTCCTTGGCGCCCTGGAAGGCCCCTGAGCGCAGCTCACGGATCTTGTTGTTGTTGAGCTGCAAGATGAAGAGGTTGACCAGGGGGGAGAGCAGCCCCCGGGGCAGCTCGGTCACCTTGTTGTGGTCCAGGTAGAGGTAGGTGAGTTCGGTAAGGTCGTCGAAGGCACCGGGGCGCAGCACGCGGATGTCGTTGTGGGACAGGTACAGGTAGATGAGCTGCTTGAGGCCGCGGAAGGCGCCGGCGGCCACTTCACGGATCTGGCAGTGCTGCAGGTGCAGTGACACGAGGTTCGGCATGGCCCGAAACGAGTTGGCGGCCAGCACCGGGAAGTTGTTGCGCTGTAAGTTGAGCAGCTTGGTCTTCTCTGACACCTTGGGGATCTTCTGCAGCCCCACCTTGTCGCAGATGACGTGCTGCAGGTCGCCGTGGCAGTGGCAGTTCTGGGGGCAGGCGGCCAGCGCCGGCAGCAGGCCGGCCAGGAGGCCGAGGCTGAGCAAGAGCATTGGGCGGGCCATGGCCGGGACGCCCGGGGCCGGGGCTGGGGGCAGCGACGGCAGCGGGACGCGGGCAGCGGCAAGTCCTGGGAGCTCGGGTCTCCTGCCCTATTTATACGGTGGCCCTGACCACAGCCGGCGGCCTGAGCCAGCTCCTACGTGGAGCATCGAGGCCACCGGGCTTAACTCCCTCGTGTCCAGAGATGCGCTCCCGCCCTCCACGGGGCAGGGGGCGGGAGGCTTTCCCCCATCCGGCGACCGTGCGTGGGGGCCTGGGACCGTGGCCCCCCGCCCGCGCCCTTTGCTCTCTGCTCTCAGATGCGGCTTCTCGGCCCACCGCCCTTCCCCAGGCTTTCCTTAGGGGGCGGGGGTGGCAATGGGTGTGTCTGGAGCCCCGCGTATACACGGGAGAGGGAGAGAGGGAGGCGTTCCCTGAACTTATTTGTTTGCTCAAGTTTGAGCCTCCACGCATCTCGCCCCCCCTCGGCCAGGTGCCCTGGGCGCGCGGCGGGAGGAAGCGGGGCTGGACGGCCGGACGCGCGTCTCGCCGCGGCCCGCCAGCTGGCGGCGCTTTAATGGGGCTCTTGTGCTGCGCCGGCCGAGCGTGCGAGCCGCTGTGGCGTCGGGCTCCCCCTTCTGACTGGACACTCCCAAGCCAAGCCTCCGTCCCCACGCCTGGGCTCAACCCCTCGCCGCTCTCCCCAGCCTGTGCTTGCGTTTCTGTCCCCTGCGCCCCATCCCCTTGCGTTTCTGTCCCCTGCGCCCCATCCCCTTTTTCCACGGCTGAAGGCTAAGCAGGAAAGTGGGAGATGGGTGGGCAGTGGTCCACAGGAACGGCAAACGCACCTGGAGGCCGCAGGCCACTGAACAAGCACAGTCGCACCATGACCCCCTCCCGAATCTCCCCCAAATATTCCCATCCCCTCATCCCCAACCCCAGTGGTCAGGACCCACCCCTGAGGGGTCTCAGGGTGGCGGCTGAGTGGCGCCAAGGTGTACTTGGCAAAGGCCACACTTGGGCAGTCACCCCAGGACTGTGAGGACGGGTGAGGGGGGCCAGAACTAGGGGGTGAGGTCGAGGGACAAGGCCTGGACAGCGCAGGCTGCCAGACTCTAGGTTTTGTGGGCAGCCCCGCCCCAGCAGCCAGATTTCTGTGTGCCCGTTCGCCAGCCACGATGTCCGGATTCCTGTGGAAAGGGGCTGGTGAGCAGGCAGGGTCACAGCTCAGGCCCCAGGGTGAGCTGCAGGCTGTCTGGCACAGGGTATTGTCCGTGTGTGTGTAGGGGGGACCAGACCCCAGGTTGAACCAAACCCCACCTGTGCCAGAGCCATGCCAGCTCTGCGGTGTCAGGGGCAGTTCCGCGGGGGCAGGGGGATGGAGAAAGGTCCAGTGTCTTTGCTGGCTGGAGGGGACTGGAATGCAGGGTAGCTAGCCCCTCTCCCCTGACCCAGTACCCAGGTGTGGGGGCCTGGTCTGCAGGGCTCGCCCCTCTTCCAAATCCCTGTTGCCTCTTGCCTCTAGAGTAGGGTTCATACTTGGCCTAGAACATTCCCTGCTGCTCTTTAGGCTCCTCCAAGGCTGGTTCTGGTTTTTCTGTTGTGCAGGATGTTCCAACCACTGGACGTGCAAGGAGGGGTGGCATGCTACTGGCTTTTGAAACCCCTGCTTTGGCTGTATTTTTATTTTGATGGAAATAAATTCAAAGGAAATTCTCCAGAGCTTGAGGGGCACCTACCCCAAGGCCAGGCACTTGTCCCGGGTTTGGGGGGGGTAGTCTGTGCCACTCCCAGCTGGGCCAAGGCAGGCTGGCTTTCTCATCAAGTTTATGGGGACTTTGGCTTGGCAGCGGGGCCGGGGGGATGTTGTGGCTTGAAATCAGGAAGGTGGGGCTAAGGCAGCCTGGGGATATGGGACAGAAGTCTGGGGTGTTGCTAATGCCGGGAGCCACAGGCCAGACATGTGGCTGCTCCAGGGAGACAGGATTGAGAGAGCCGAGCTAGCAGAGAATGGCTCCCCTGCTCTCAATTTTATTTCAGATCTGGCGCCCCTGCAGAGACCCTGCCATCCAGCTGCCCTCCACTTTCCCCTATCTCTTATGGGTTCCTTCCCATGCCCCCAGCGTAGCTCACCCCTTCCCTCTGCAGTCACCCAGCTCCCACCTAACTCCCCTTCCGGACCCTCCAGGTTGCTTACGGAACCACAGAGAACAGTCCTGTGACCTTCATGAACTTCCCTGACGACACTGTGGAGCAGAAGTCAGAAAGTGTGGGCAGAATTATGCCTCACACGGAGGTGAGCCCCGACCGAGACCCCGTCCCACCTCCCAGCACTCAACTGGGCACACCCGCCTGGGACATCTGCCGCTTCCGGTTAGAGACCGACAAGCAGGGTGCCGAGAGCCTCCCAGCAGCAGGGGCTGCCCCGCTTTCTCTGTGGGCTGCAGCAGGAAAGGGGAAGAGCTGAAACGGTGGCCATGAGCAGCTGCCAGCTGAACTTCTCCACAGCCTCCCTTCCTGTCTGAGGTGTGTTTTTGCCAAGCCCACTGTCTGTTTCGGGCAGCCACAGTTGCCTCAAAGAGGAGCCAGAGCACAGAGATTTTTCCTACACAACTCTTCTTCCCTCAGACGCCCCTGTGCCTCTCACTTTGGCAGAGTTCCTCTTTTTGCTAGGCGTAAACACTTCGTTTTCCAAGCAGTCTGTCCCTTTGGGGGAGTGGTCCCTTGCCCCTCAGAGGCTGTCCCAGAGCACATCCCAATCTCAAATTCCCAGCCATCACCCCTTTCCTGCTCCAACGCTGGTGGTTTATGCCAGCCAGCACCTGGTTTCCCCTGCCCCCTTGCCCCTGTGGGTTCACTGCCCATGTGCCCAAGTAGCTGCTTCCTCTGGGGCTGACCTCTATCCTGGTGGGGATCTCCCGTGCCCTCCCCCCTGGAGCAGTCCTGCACAGAGTGAGTGAGCACGGATGTGAGCCCCCTTCAAGGTGTCCAACAGGCTCATTGGCACTTTCACTGGGATGCCCCCCCGGAAGGTGAACAGGGCCAGGCATAGTTCCACCCATTTCACAGATGCAGACACTGAGGCACACAGAGGCTCAGCTTTCCTTGGCACAGTGGCTACAGGTCATTTCCCTACTAGGCTTTCAGATACTGCCTGTCCCGTTCACATGATGCTGCCACACTGCCTTCTTTGGCTTCTTTATTTGCTGCTTAATGGGAAGTAAGAGGACACTCCCTTCTCTTCTGCACAGTTTACAGTTCTTTTTTTTTTTTTTTTTTTTTGAGATAGTGTCTCAGTCTGTTGCCCGGGCTAGAGTGCCATGGCGTCAGCCTAGCTCACAGCAACCTCAAACTCCTGGGCTCAAGCGATCCTCCTGCCTCAGCCTCCCGAGTAGCTGGGACTACAGGCATGTGCCCCCATGCCCAGCTAATTCTTTCTATATATTTTTAGTTGGCCAATTAATTTCTTTCTACTTTTAGTAGAGATTGGGTCTCGCTCTCGCTCGGGCTGGTCTCGAACTCCTGACTTTGAGCGATCCTCCCGCCTCAGCTTCCCATAGTGCTAGGATTACAGGCGTGAGCCACTACACCTGGCCTAGTTTACAATTCTTTAGCCGGCCTTGCCCTCCACAGATGCCTTTCTCTACGGCAGCTCCCTGCCCACTCCGTTTCCTCGGCACCCCTGGCCTGGGCCTCAACTGTTCTCTGACTGGTGACGGGTCTACCCTAGCCTTTTTCTCTCACCCCTGGGCTGGGATAGGCAGAGCCAGGGGCCTCAGTATTGGGGGGAGGGAAGGCAAAGCTCTCCCCCTTTCCCAAGGGCCACCTGTCCGGAAGCAAGGGTGTAGGAGGCCCCACACTGAAGCTGGCTTGTCTCAGGCCCAGATCTTGAGCATGGAGGCGGGGACGCTGGCGGCGCTGAACACTCCCGGGGAGCTGTGCATCCGAGGGTACTGCGTCATGCTGGGCTACTGGGGCGAGCCTCAGAAGACGGAGGAAGTGGTTGGTCAGGACAAGTGGTACCGGACAGGGTGAGAGGGCAGGACGGGGCAGAGGGGAGGCTGGGGCTCCTGAGCTTGAGCTAGGGACGTTAAACTAGCACGGGGAGGACATGGGTGTCCAAATGGCCGCTCACATCCTGGAGACTTAATTTCCAAAATGTGTACAATGGGGATAATCCTACACAGTATGGAAGAAAGCGACAAGGACAGTGCACCACACTAGCGTTCACAGTCTGAGCCCAGACTCAATCACTCATTTGTTTTTTGTTTTTGTTTTTGTGTTTTGAGGCAGAGTCTCACTCTGTTGCCCTGGCATCAGCCTAGCTCACAGCAACCTCAAACTCCTGGGCTCAAGCAATCCTGCTGCCTCAGCCTCCCGAGCAGCTGGGACTACAGGCATGCGCCACCATGCCCGGCTAATTTGTTCTATTTTTAGTTGTTTGGCTAATTTCTTTCTATTTATAGTAGAGATGGGGGTCTTGCTCTTGCTGGGGCTGGTCTCGAAATCCTGACCTCGAGCAATCCGCCCGCCTCGGCCTCCCAGAGTGCTAGGATTACAGGCGTGAGCCACCGCGCCCGGCCTCAGTCACTCACTTGTCAGCTCAGCAGAGTCTTGCTGTGCACCCACTGTGTGCCAGCACTGCTCTCCACACTGGTGGGGCCTGGAGAGCTTCTACTTCCCACACGTCTGGTGAAGGAGGACAGATAATTTCCAACATCAATAAGCACCACAAAGAAAATAAAATCAGGTTATAGGAGACAGCGTAGCTGTAGTGGGGAGGGGTGGTCAGAGAAGGCTTCTGGAAACATTTGAGCCGAGACCCAAATGACAAAAACTAAGCCAGCCATGAGAAGCATATGTGCAGATACGTTGAGAGAGAGAGAATGTTACAGGTGTTGGTTTCTTTTTGTCTGCCTTGCCCACTAGACTGTAAGTTCCAGGGACTGTGTCTTGTTCCTGCCGTGTCTCCCAGCGTCTAGAGCAGTGGAAGACACATAGTAGGTGCTTGATAAATGCTTGGTGAGTGAGCAAAGGAGTGAGTGAGCAGATGGGGCAGAGATGAGAGGCCATTCCTGGGCTTCCCTTACAGAGACATCGCCATGATGGACGAGCAGGGCTTCTGCAAGATCGTGGGCCGCTCCAAGGATATGATCATCCGGGGTGGTGAGAACATCTACCCCGCAGAGCTGGAGGATTTCTTTCACACACACCCGCAGGTGCAGGAAGTGCAGGTGAGGCGCCCAGCCCAGGTGAGACCCCAGGAGCAGGAAACATGCGTGAAGATGGTGAAGTCTGATATTTGTCTCTGTCCCTGGAAGGTGGTGGGAGTGAAGGACAGCCGGATGGGGGAGGAAATTTGTGCATGCATTCGGCTGAAGAACGGGGAGCAGACCACGGCCGAGGAGATCAAAGCTTTCTGCAAAGGGAAGGTAGGAGCCTCAGCCCACCCCAACTGACGCTGCTCGGTTCTTCACCCACCTCCCCCTGCCAGCCTGCCCACGGTGGGGGGTGCTCTGCCCTTGATAAACCTGATTCCCTGGCCAGGCCAGCCCTTGGTCCTCTACCCCCGACCCCATGACCTTGCCCTCAGCCTCACACCTTACCTCCCTTTGCTCTGCAGATCGCCCACTTCAAGATTCCCCGATACGTCGTGTTTGTCACAAACTACCCCCTCACCATCTCAGGAAAGGTATGTAAGGTGGGGACTAGGAGGGGCAGGGCAGGCCTGGGTGTGGGGACCAGATGCAGAAAAGGCCAGGTGGCCCCACCTACACCTCCCTCAGCAATGGGCAAGAGAGTCCGTGGAGAGGCTGGCAGTAGGGAGACCGAGTCACCTCATCCCGGTCTTCCCCAGACTTTCTTGGTTTTAGCACTAACAGCCTGGGAAACTTCTCAGTCCCAGGCAAACGAAGACAGCTGTCACCCTAGCAGAGGCCCCAAGCCTGACTCTCATACCTTTGTCTTTCCTCTAGATCCAGAAATTCAAACTTCGAGAGCAGATGGAACGACATTTAAATCTGTGAATAAAGGGGGCAAAGGGGTCCTCCCAGGCCCTCCTCCTGCCCCTCCCCAGATCCCCTTGTCTGTCTTTGTGATTTGGCATAAAGAGCTTCTCTGTTTTCTTTGGTCTCTAGCTGGTGTGCTGTCTTGGCAGCTACTATGGGATGGAGAAGGGAAGAGAACGAAGGGAAACTAGCACTTTCAGACCTCCTGTTCCTTGTCAGTGGTGATGCATAGCACTTTGATATGGGTTATCTACTTAATTTAACCCCTACCCTTGGTATCCCTTTGAGATAACAATCCAATTTAAAATTTTTAGGCTATACTAATTTAATTCTTTTTCACATTGTTGCCAGGGTAGCCCAGCAAGAAGTATTCTTTTTTTCTAACAGCTTGATTGAGATATAATTCAAATACCATCCTAGCCCATTTAAAGTGGACAATTCAGTGGGTTTTTTTATTTGTTTGTTTTTGGGACAGAGTCTTGCTCTGTTGCCTGGGCTAGAGTGCTGTGGCATCAGCCTAGTTCATAGCAACCTCAAACTCCTGGGCTTAAATAATCCTTTTGCTTCAGCCTCCCAAGTAGCTGGGACTACAGGCATGTGCTACCATGCCTGGCTAATTTTTTCTATATATTTTTAGTTGTCCAGCTAATTTCTTTCTATTTTTAGTAGAGATAGGGGAGAGAGGGGTCTTACTCTTGCTGAGGCTGGTCTTGAACTTCTGATTTTGAGGGCTCTTCCCACCTTGGCCTCCCAGAATGCTAGGATTACAGGCGTAAGCCACCACGCCTGGCCAATTCAGTGGTTTTTAGTATATTCACAGATAGGTGTGACGACCACCACAGTCAATTTTAAACATTATCATCACCCCAAAAAAGAAACTCCATGCCCTTTAACTATCACCACTCATCCCCCTGTTCCCTAGTGCTCCTCCACCAGCCCAATTTTTATTATTTATTTATTTTTTGGACCAACGAACCGGGGGCTTCCGGGATGGGCAGGGCCAGGAGAAGCAGGTTGTAACCCAAGAAGTAAAAACAGCTGGGTTCCAAACGGCACACAGGTCCCCAGTTTGCAGGTATGGAAAATTTCTTCCTGCCTGCACCCTTACCTTCCAGCATGCCTGCCCACTGCAGCGGCCACTGCCTCTTTAGTTTTAAAGAAACGAACGTAAGT